CTTGTCATATTAAAGTGCATAGTAACGCCTACTGAAAATGCTTTGTGGAGATTGTTACTGTATGGGGGCTTAGCCATTGCTTGTAAAGGGACTTGATTGGAGACCCCCAGCCGGGAACCTCAAGAACATAGAGTTTAGGGTTTAGGAATGCAGTCGGAATAGGTGGAGGGGTTCTTGATGTATAGGTCTATTCCCATTACATTCCTACGATATTCTCGGCTTGGGGATCCCACTCGAATCTTTTTATAGTTTGCATGTGAACCAAGCTTAAAGGGCACTGAAGTTGTAATGCCGACAGGCTCTACACGGTCTGTAGATGGATCGTCCCATTTTTGAGAGTGTTGGTCTCATGGGGCCGTGCCGTTACCCAAGACGGGGCGTTCGAGTGGTCATAACATGGATGCGGCAGTGTTTTTCCTAAACCGTAAATCCTAATCCCTATAGGGCTTGGGACTGAATGAGCCCATTGAAGCTGGAGGCCAAACCTGCCAGCGCGTCGTTTGCACGTGGCAGGGTGGCTATCTGCCCGAGGCATCCGGAGAGGTGTTGTCATAGAGCGCTAGATATCACCTCAAGCCCCCCAAAGACGTGTGTTAGGAAACCATAGTAAACATGACTTACGCGGAACTGTAAGTTTTAAGGTTCTTTAGGTCTAAGGTGCTTTGTAGAAGCAGGGTGTGTTCATACCACTACTGCATTAGAGATGTTGACTCTTGCCGACACTCATGAAGACTAGAAGCGTCCACACGGGTCCGAACAATGACCAGACGATGGACGGCTACTTAGCAGCTAGAGCTCAGGTGTATGTGTATATATATATATATATCATCCCCAACGTGCAATACACTAGCTTGAGCTGTCCTGGTTATTCTGAGAGATTCGATTCTCTGCACACTTGGACCTAGCTCAAGGTAGCCCATAGTGCGCGTTCATCGACGGCATAAGGCGACACCCCCTCCACCCCCACCCCACCCCACCCCCCCACCAAAAAAAAACAAAAACACACACACACACACAGAGACACGCCCCAGTGCAGTACCGTTATACATTAGGAGGACATTTGATTCTCAGACCCGATATTACCCCTTGTAAACCCTGGATAATCCCCATGAAGCCATATATAGATCGTATATAACGCCATATACATCCCTATACAAGGGGGAAGTAAAGCCTTCAGAGCAGATTTAGTGCCCTTAGCGGGCTGATTTTCCAAGTGGAGGACTGAAGGTGCTTGGGCCTTGGGATTTGGAGGCAGGTCGTGCAGAAGGTTTTCGGGGAACGGAAGGGGGAGAAGCTAAACATGTGGCAGCTTTCCCATGTAGCATGGTCATTATCCCATCGGGGGATATTTCACATAAGGAGTTGTGGGTGGTTCCTTACGGGCAGGAGAGGCTTATCCTAAACGTCAGAAAATCCACTTGGAGGGACAGGGGGATTTCACAAGCGGGAGATGAACAGGGCTATCATGTCGGTTATAGGGGTTATTAACCCACTTACTGAGCTCCCCTGACCGTCCAAGTAATGGTTGCGAGTTACAAGCTCGTGCTTTCAACTTAGTGTCACCGCCAGCCTACCTACGACGCGGTTTAGGGTTTAGGTGTCAGGGTGCCGTAGGCATCATGTAAACCATAATCCGTAAAGCGCAAGCCCTCTTACACCTAATTCCCAAAGCACGCCTGAGCCCTACATCCCTGAGTAGCTGGGTAGGTGCACTTTGCCCTTGTTCGGCTTCTGTAGCCCTAAATCCTTAGCCCTAAACCCATAACCCTATTGATCCCAGGAATTCAGCAGCTGGGACCCTTATCTCCGATCGGCAAAGCCACTTTCTAGCGACCCTCAGGGTTTAGGGTTGAGGACGGTATTCCCAAAAAGCTTGTTAAGGGATGCTTGGCAGGTCAGGGGAACCTAGTAAGTAGGTAGGGTCTGGAGTCTAGGGTTAATAGGATTAGGGTTCAAGGTCAGGAGGGCTGGGTAATCAGACTTCTAACCACTGCCAGCCAGATGAGAAATCGGATATCCCCATTATTAACCTAAGTCACCTGACCTACCAAGTATTGTTTCGGTGTTGCAACGTGAGAAGATAAATTTAACACCCCGCCCCAGCCAGAATCCCGGGTTCATACAGGTAATCCTGACAGATTGCCTACCTTGAGCGTGCCCCAGAGAATTCCCTCTGAACCTCCTTACTTACCTACCTGCCGGGATCACACAAAATCCGCTGCCCTATAAAGCCCTATATAACCGTTATCCAAACTCCGAACCCTAACTATACCTAGCCAACAACCCTAAACTTCAAACAACAAACCCGATACGTAAAGACCAAGCCCCACTTGAATAGGGTTAGTATGTAGGTGGGTAGTTCCCAAAATCAGGGTCCCATCTTGGTACCTCTTCTTATTAGGTGCCGAAATATACTCTATAAGCAATAGTGGTCCACAATTTTGAGAACAGCCCAGATTAACAATGGGCATGACTGATGTGTCCTTTAGGGGGCTATACGTATGCTTCCCATTGACCCTCAGGGTTCCTTCCTAGACCCAGGATCCTAAATCCTATGTAGCTCCTCAACCCTGAACCCTAAACCCGCAACCCTGAACCCTAAAACTTGAACCTTGAACCCTCAACCCTGAGCCCTAAACCTAAACCTGATTTAATAGGCCACTGCCATTGCCTTCGAAGCGGCAATCCGCGCCCTGGCCAATGCCGAGACGACACAGGCTTGCTACTCTCCCGGACACTAGCATTGGAACTTGTTATATGCTGGGGTTGTATATTATAAAGGGTTAGCACCGGGATTTGGTGTGTGTGTATATATATATCTATATCAGGGTTATACAGGGTTTAGGGATAGAATCCCAAAAACGGAGAATCAAATGGACAAAGAACACGGAAAACAAGAGGGAAACTGAGCTTCTATAGCAGGCAGTAGGGGGACGGATTACTTCCATGGCTCACGTCAGACCCTAAACCCTAAACCGCCTAAACCCTAAACCGCCTAAACCCTAAGCCGCCTAAACCCTAAATCATATACCGCCTCAACCCTATACCCTACCCTAAGTCCTAAACTGCGTTGAAATTCTGGGGCGCAGGCTAGGCTCACAGTAGGGTTTAGGCTTTAAGGTTTAGTGTTCGAGGTTTAGGGTTTAGGGTATTTTACTTGAGGACCATTACAACTCCTATTACCTACTACGGCAACTTTTTATGTGATAAGGGTCATGTTCTTTTCGGTGTGATTCTGCGGTATCCTAGAACCCTTAAACCCTATGCCGTACATATCCCTCTGTGGGGACCGAAGGTTTCAATTTCATTTTCAATGCTCTTTCCATTTGATTCCCGATTCTTTCTTATAGTTTGTCATAGGTTTTAGGTTTTAGGGTTGCTGCGTTGCTGCGTAGGATAGACGGTCCGAAGGCTTCTTGCTGCGGAGTTAAGGGTATCGGTGTACGTAGGGTTGGCTATGGTCTCAGATAGGTCTAGGATTCACAGTATAGGTCTCGGGCTGCGGATCCTTGCATGTTTGATGCATGTTGGAACTTCGCGTTGAGAACTATCGAGATTTAGGGTCCGCTACGGAATGATGTGCCTGGTTTGCCATGAGCCCCACACACTGAAGCTATTTCACATAGGCCGTAGTAGGTACTCAGGCCCAAGGGCCCAAGTACAGGGTAACTGGAGGGTCTGGGCGGCCTAGACCTTGAACTTTAAGCCTGCTTCCTTAGGGCAGTTTGGGTTTTAGGTTTTAGGGTTTAGGGTTTAGGGGTGCTAGTTGCAGGAGCTTTATGGTATATCGTGTCTTTAACTTGCCTCATCTCGGAAGGAATGAACTGCCAGGCAGGGCTTCAGATACTTAATTTATGGATGCTAGGAGAATCCCCCTTATAGTGGGCAAACTAAAACGACCTCACTCGACCTCACCCCAAGTGGTGCTTTGTAAAGAACTTTTCATAGGTTCCGATGGAAAAGTATAAAACGGCAGGATTGTAGAGCACGATTGTTTTTCCTTTGGGTTATCGGCTTTTTAGCAGGGATTCGATCTTTCTTGTTTCGGCCAACAATAAGCCGTTCATGGGTAGTTATAAGTATGGTTATCAAGGCCACATAGGCATTTGATAGGAGTATACAAGGGTATGTATGGGGTTTAGGGTAGTTGGAAGTTGGGCTACAAGTGCCCCAGATCGTTATCATAATTTACGACTGGAATTATCGAATCCTGTTTATGTGCAAGTCCAGCTAGAACTGCCTGTGAACCTCTGCTGCGCGTGACGTGTTCCCTGTATTCTTGGGCTCAGACACAGTGCGCACGCCATGGGCTCTTGCACACGCTATCGCAGCTTAATTTTTACTATGCTGAATGTGTATTGGGTTTAGAACTGAGGCAATTCCAGATTCATCGCAAAAGGCTTTAATCCGATGCCAAGCTTTGTACGATTGACTGGGCAACAGAGTCCACTAGCAAAGGCAAGTGCACCATGCACTGAGCACAATGTAACATCGCTGAGCAGGTTTACCAAAGCGTTTCGGAACAACCTTGTTTCAAAGTGCCGCTTAGAAACCTGCCGCTGGCATCGTGTTGGCCGGAAAGCCTCTCGGCTGCAAATGTACTGATCGTGTTTGGTCGGAAATGAGTTGCCGTGTGCTGCCAAAGCTTGAGACTGTGTTCCCCTCTCATTACACGTTCCACTACACGGTTCCATTGGGGATACATACTGTAGACATAGAAAGACCCATTACCTAGACTCTCCAACTAACCACGACTTTGGCCTTAAGTACCTCCTTCTAAGGCCCATATAACGCCAATTAAGGGTACTACCTAGGAGGGTCCTGGTAGTACGCCGAACCTCTCTCTTGGGTACTGCCCCCACTCTGTAACAGCTAAATAATATTCATAATATTGTTATATATAGCCCTTAATATGACCCCTAATATAAACTGCTACTGGGTGGGGGAGGTACCCAACCTCTCCCCCTAAACCCTAAACCCTAAACTCTTATCCCTGCTAGGAATGATGTCCTCAATGCCGCCCAGCGGACCCGAAGGCCCGACTCTCTTCGTGACGGGCTTGCCCTCGGAGTCTTTGTCTGAAGGGTACCCATTGGGGTAATATTAGGGTTATATTGGGCTATATTGGGATAATGGAAGACAAAATGGAAATTCCCCTAAACCCCAAACCCTAAACCCTGTTTAGGGTTTAGGGTTAGGGCTCAGGGTATTCTAAGGCTGAAAATTTGGAGGGGGTGCCTGCTTTGTGGGCTTGGTTAGACCGGAGTTTTTAACGGCATTTCCCCATAAATTTGTTTGCCTGCGTTCTTCTTGGCCTGTACCAATGGGTAATCATGGGTAATCTTTGAACGTCGAGGGTACCAAACAAGAGCAAGATACATCAGCAGAACAACGCGGCAACCCTTGAGAAGGCCCGCTTGAGCTCCCGGCCTTTGTGGAACCCTTTTCCTTTCGTGAAGGCTACGGCTCCCTTGTCAAGGCTTGATTGGGGTTGCAGTTCGCCAACTCTCCGTGCGAGATAGGAGGCAGCACGTCACACTCCAGAGGCTTAGCTTCGTAAACCTCCTTCATCCCTTCGCCGAAGTCGCCTCCCTTCGCCAAGATTTTTTGTCTTGCGTTTACAAGGTTCGCCCAAGGTTTGTCGCTGTCGCACCCATTGAGGGTTCCCCTCTATTTTCCCCGTAGTATGCTGGACGCCCAAGGACTGCAACAGTGATTTTTGCAAGGCAATCTTCGGACAGTATGGCATTGTGAAGGATGCACGGATGCTCCCGGTTGCGCCAGGGAAGACAAGTGCTGCGGCAATTGTGGAGATGAACACGGCAGATGACGCAAAATGGATCGTGGAGCATGTGAACGGCAACGTCCCTCAGAGCCTGACAACACCTGTTACGGTGACCTTCAAGCTCAAAGAGAAGGGTTTTGGCAAGGGCTTGGGGAAGGGCATGGACCTCAGCGCCCTGAGCGGTCTTGCGGCGGGCCTAAGCGGTGGCATGGGCGGAAAGGGCGCGGAGGACGGCAACAACAATGGCAACGCAGCTGTGGCGGGCTTGTTGCAGCTGCTTGTTCCCTTGGTTGGGGCCGTGGCTGGGATGCAGGGAGGTGGCAAGGGAGGATGGGTTCCGCCAAAGCCGCCCCCAGGCCAGCAGATCTGTCGGTACTTCGAGGCCGGCATGGCCTGTCCCAGAACCGGCTGCACCTTCTGGCACGGTGACTCCAATGCAGGTGCCGGTGGTGACATGGGCAAGGGCGCAGGACCCGCTATGATCGCAGGTGGTGACATGTTCTCCGGCATGGGCATGGGCAAAGGCGCAGGTCCCCCTATGGGGAAGGGCGCACCAGCTTACAAGACGCGCATGTGCAATTTCTTTTTGCAGGGCAAGTGCACCTGGGCAGACGCCTGCAAGTTCGCCCACTATGAGTACGAGTTGCACAAGTGAGCGCTAGCTTGCGGGTGAATGTGGCTCCAACCTGGGCACTGAACCGCTAAGCAGGCCCGCTGTAGTGTGCACAGTTTTGCTGTTGTGCTTCATATAGAGATTGAGCACTCGTTCCCAAGATGCTCGCGCTTCCTGAACAAATCCAGTGCGTCATCAGCCCTTGCCAGAGTTGCAGTGCAAGGTTGGCTGGTAGGTCAGGACGCCTAGCGAATCATCGTAATGAGCGTCACTGTATACAGGCGCAGTCTGCATTCGTACGTAGGTCAAGCATTGACAACTAGACGTCCGACATGCGCAACCACAGCAAGGGGCAGCTCTCATGGTAGGATCATTCCCCAACACGGGGCCTCGAGATGTCTTGCAGCTTCGTGGCATGATTGGAGCCATCTACCGTGCCGCAGGGCCTGAGGCTCCCAGCGAGTGAACACTGCAGCTGTAGGTATCGAGCAATAATATGCTCCTTGCATCCTGCTTAGGACGGGACTTAATTACGTGCATTTCCGTTAGGAACACTTGCTGGCCTTTGTTGCCTGCTGCTGCTCGGTACACAGACTAGATCCGCTTCGCTGGACAATTTTGCTCGCCATGGCCGTAAGTCCCCCAGTCAGCGAGACTTTGTTCGTGACACTCGTCACTGCTTCAGCTGAGTTGTTGGTTCAAGGGCAGCCCATGAAGATGGGCTTCAAAAGCTAAACTGCCTTGAGTCAGAAGGGAAGCAAATACTGAGCATGTAGGTGAGTAAGTCAAACTTGGCCACAGGTACCTGATTCCGGATGCCTCTTTGGCCACGGGCACCCCTGAACCCTTGGCACACTGGGAGCGGTCCTGGGTTCGTCGACAAAACATTGGGATTCGGGACTTTCAGAGATTGGCAACCAATAAGGATCCAGGAGCACTGGAGGTATTTTGAGGCTCCTGGCACCCTAAACCCTAAACCCCTATCCCCTAAATTTAAACCCGAAACCCCATTTTGAAGTAGAGATGGTCGGGCCTAGAATCTGCATTGGGCACACCCTGTAACAGTCTATATTGGGGGGGTCACATTAGGGCTACATATGGGTGGTTGTCAAAATTACGGTCCCTTTTTGAATCCCCTTTTTATACGGCGCCTAATTTTTAGGGTGCCCAAAAAGGGACCATCATTTTGACAAACACCCATACAACTATTTTCATATTATCCAGCTGTTACTAAGTGCGGGGAGTACCCAATGTCTACATGGGGCCCGACATGAGTTAGGGTCAATCTTTCCAAGGAACCATTCAGGGTGAACGTAGGGGCCCCTTTGGTAGTTTGGTGTAGGCCCTAGTTTTTTCCCTGAAAAGGAACCCATGTCCATTAGTATGGGGTTGCGTCGGGTTGCGTTACCTTCGTTATAATATCACATAATACAAGTCCCTGTATCTGGTTCCTATTCTAATATGGGTCTCCGGAGAACCTAGAGGAATCCCTCCCTCAGCTTGGGAACCGTACTCTAGGCAAACTACCATATACCTGGGGGCTCCCACTTGATTTTGCTTGGGATGGCGCTACATGGTTTTCTAATGAGGGGTTGCGGTATTCTACCCAAAAGCAACTACATAGCAGGCTAGGGAAGCCTCCTGACACATTTACTCCAGCAGTGCGGCGCTTTTGTTTGAAATGCGGCGATTGACATGTCTCGAATGTTGAAAGGTCCTCTTATGTAGGCCACAATTGTCTTCTGGTCCATCTATGGGCCAAGTAATGGGCATGTAGGGCCTGAAAGGGAATCTTGGTAGCTAAGTGGGTAGCCTTTATACTCTTCATGTATATCAACTAATCACTTCAAATCCAGGACAAACGTTTATCACCCAAAGGCCTGAACTCACCCCAAACCCCAAGCCCTAAACCCTGAACCCTATACCTTAGGAGGACCACCCACCCTGTAAAGGTGGTATAATAGGACTCTCCCCAAACCCCAAGCCCTAAACCCTGAACCCTATACCTTAGGAGGACCCCCCACCCTGTAATGGTGGTATAATAGGACTAGAAGAGGACCCTAATACAATTACCATTATCCCATATAGTCACTATTACTGGGTAGAGGGTCCACTTACCCTATACCCCTAAACCTTTGAGCGAGCCAAGGACTGGTCTGCCCGTCGACAGTACCAAAGAGAAGCTTGGCCTGAGTGATTTTGGGAGCTTTCTAGGAAGGGCCACCTTGACCCTAAACCCTGAACTCCTTGGTGTCGGGATGTTACTGCCATTAGAGAACTAAGCGGACCCCCCTTCTCAGCTATGTACATATGGGCTGGCATAGGATAAGGCAGCTGCCTTCTTGTCAAAATTTGGTTGGTAGATGCATTTGGTTGTCCACTGGGAGTTTCAGGAGTTCATTTGGAGGGCTATTTGGCGCGAAATGCTTACGACCCTGAACAGTGGCATTATGCACAGGTTTGCGTAGATTGAAGCCTGAAAATCAAGAGGTGCAAGAATACCTTGTCTACATGACTCCTTAACTTTCACTGTAGAGTGTTGCACTGGGCGCCCAGACACTCAATTTCGATTCATCAGTTTCCTTCTGGAAGGGTATACGAATTTCTTGGCAATGAGCTAGAAAACCGTGGCGGCACCCCTGTAGGCTGTAGAAATCGGGACGAAGTAAACGATAGTACAACCGCCACACTGTTTCAGGTCTTACGGTTACAAGCAAGAATTAAGCAGCAGCAGCAGCAGCAGCAGCCGCATTTTGTGTTGATGAACGTAGCACAGGCACACCATCATCCACACTGCGCAGGGAGACTTTGCAAGATCTCCAGTCCTAAGCACCCGAAACCTCCAATCTTAAAACTCTACATCTTAAACACGAGACCTTAAGTCTAAACCTTAAACTTCAACTCCAAACCAGAAATCACTAAAGGAGCGTTCTCAAGATCTTCAGCCAGTATGGGGCCGTGAAGGAAACCACGGTGCTCCCCGTCCTTGCAGGCGTCTCATACGCTTGGTTCCACAGGGTTTAAAGTTCAGGGTTCTACATTCCTGTATATTCCTTATAAACGCAATTTGAAAAAGAAAAAATGCGCCTTTTTTTTTTAGGATACGCCTCTTTTTGTTGTTCTTCGAAGGTTTTCAACTGTGAACACGTCAGTGTGGAAACCCTCAATCTGCGATTGAAGTTTTTTGTTTGAGCGTAGGGTGATGTGTGCAGGATTTTGATTCAACCCTGTAAACCCTCAACCCTTTCAGCTCATGATACGATGCCGTTGTATTTTGAATTTGGTCACAAAAGTGACAGAAGAAAAGGGCCGTGCTTGCGGTCTCCGAAACGAGGGGTCCCTTCGAAAGAGCTTAAAGGTCATATGTATATATATATAATAGACATATAGACATATTCTTTAAAGGAGGTGTACATATACATTTTCAAATATATATATATATGTATATATTCATATATGCATACACACATACATATGTGAATGGCATTTCAGGAGTGCAAAAATGCTGGCAGGCGCGGTATGTTCAGGCATTTTCTTGTAGAAAGGATTGAAAAGTCTTGGCGGGGCCATGATTTCGTGCATATGGCCCATTTTCATAGGGAAAGCAACAGCATCCATGCCCAAAGGACATTATCGCCCATGTTCGACTGCATACGGGAACCAACAGCATCCATGCCCTGACAAAAAAAGAAGTTCCATGCCCAAATGCATACAAGGTACCAGAGCATCCATGCCCAAGTGATCGATGCCAGACTGCGTACAGGAAGCAGAGAAGCACCCACGCCAAAAGGACAATAGTTTATGTCCATTCCCGAAAGCGTGCAGGTTACCAGAGCATGCATCCATGCCCCAAGGATGATACCGTCAATGTTCGACTGCGTACCGTATATCAAAACAAAATGCTGTTCTTGTGCTTGGGACAATACGGTTCATGAGTAAGGCCAGTGGTTTCCACACAGTTGCATGAATTGGCACGTGCGAACGCACCCACCGTATTGCTTCCATCCTGCATACCCTCATATATACATATATATATATGTAGATGTATACATATCCATAGTAACCTGTTTAGGGTTTAGGGGTTTAGGGTTTAACCCTTTCCGTTTCATTCCAGTAGACTTCAAGAGGTCATCAGAGTTTCCATTTCAAGTTCCCTATTGTTCCATTGTATTCTCAATTTCGGGGTAATATCCCTAATCCCCACATAAACTTTTTCAAAACTGGGCCCCTTTTTCCAGGGCAACCTCAGGCCTCAACGGCAGGATTCCCAAAACCATAAACCCCAACACCCCAAACTTTAAGGCTTCCTAGGGTTTTCGAGTTTCGGGTTTGCCTGTGCTCTAAGGTTAGAAGTATGGGCCTCTGATATGGGAAACTTAGGCCTTTTGGGGGGGATTCTAGTGACCAGGGTCAGGGACAACGAGGGTATATCGCAGGCATATAAGGATCCCAGGGGAAAGGGCCCATACCAGAGGCCCAAGGTTTCAACCTTAGGTGTAAACCTTATCATTTAGAACCCAGTCATTACCCCCTCGTTAGTAGGCATAACCCATAAGACTGCAGGTAAATTGCACGTACGGTTTAGAGTGTAGGGATGGATTCCTCCTTGGAACGCTTGATAGGCAAGGAAGCTGCAGCAGCTTTCGTCATCATGAGCCTTGGTGTATCTATCTGCTTGCTTTGTAGGCAGCGTGTTTCATGGTCTTAGTCTTAGCTGGATAAGTTGCTTTGTAGTTCATTTCTCTATACCGCAAGACTCACGAGGAACATATGGAATTATTGTATTTGGTGTTCCGTAATATTCCAATGAAGAGCCAGGTTTAGGTTCTTGGAAAGGGGCTGTTCGGCAGGTTTGAACGGATTCTGTGGTGTTGTTACTTCAGGGCTTACCGCTTCAGAGTCCGTCTCAGCATTTGAGTTCTATTGTAAAGTTTAGGTAAGAGTCATGACACCCGTGAGGGCGATTGTGCCCCGGGAGCGGTCCACCTTGACTCCATGATAGCGTTTAGGGTTCAGGGCTAAAGCACAGTACGCTATTATCACTACATCATTTGTGCGCGGTAGACCAAATCGGAAAGATGCTGGTTGTGGTGGTGCTTAAATAGATACCAATACTCCCGCTTTGTCTGTCTTATTTATGAGGGGCTTGCAAAATTAGGGATACCTTTTTGGGGGTCCCTTTAACAAGAATTATAGCATTTGGGGGTCTACATTGAGGACCCCCTATTTAGGGAAACTAACACACACACACACACATATATATATATATATTCTGGTAGAAGGCACTGCAAATTCCTATTGTAACTACGAAGTATGAGGGTCCCCGCATTACACGAGCGTGCTGCCGGCATTCCACGAAATGAGCGGCTGCTCAGCAGACGGAGCTCAACTTCCTCCATAGTAGAAAATTCAAAACGCTTAGGGGGTAGGCAGGGAGGCGACGTTCGGCTTAGGGTTTCCCAGTCCCGTTTGCGTTCCTCGTAAAAACCTAAACCCTAAACTATCTTCGAGGGTTATCGTGCTTTATTGGACCCTAAATTTCGGAAATTACCACATCCCCAACGCTACATATCCCTATACGCCCCTAGCTTTCATATGAGCTATAGTCTAAACTCCTTAAAGGGGGGCTGTATAGGGGAGTACCATAGGATTCAGAAAGGGAGATACTAGGAGTCTGGACCATGCCTCATATCATATCCATTATCCCTGGTCATCCTGGGCGGGGGCCTATAACTTGCCGGGGACAGTTGAAGATCTGTGCGCCCAGCGACCAAGACGCCAGGATGTCAGCCTGCCTGCAGTGTGACACACATTTCGAAACCCTATCATATAGTCCCCCTTAAGTCGATAGAATGTGGGGTATATGGGGGATCTTAGTATGATATTGGAGATTTCTATCTACTTAAGGGGGGCTAGAATCCTAAACCCTGAACACCCCCTAAATCCAGGAACACTGTGGAAGATGCCAAGTGGATCACGGAGAACGTCAACGGCAATGTTCCACAAGGCCTGGTAAGCAATGCGACCTGGCGATCCTTAGAGGGTTTAGGGGTAAGGGTTCTGCAACAGCTCTCATCTACGTCGCTGGTGGGGAACTTAAGCTGATCTAGCAAGAGGCAGATATAAGTATTGCGCAATAGGGTTAGTTGTATGAGATAATGATAACTTGAGTTCAAACCCTTTGGCAGCTATACATTTGCTTTCATTGCCTTATGTGAGCTGTATGTTTAACGGGGATACTCTAGTCACACTCGTCTCATTGTAGAGTAAGATTCTACCCTCCCATTACCCAATCTCCGAAAAATGCTATTCCAGCACTTCCGCACTTCTAGCCACATGAAACCGAGCCCTTTGACTCCAACAGACTTAAGGCTCAAACTCTAAAACGCTCTGGCAACCTTGTCTGCAGCGCAACGCGCGGGCTAGTTACATCTTATAATACATTCCCATAGAAATCAACCTCTCCCCCTAGGGATCCAAGTATACAAATAATACCTACATTGGGCCCCAAAGTCTGCACATATGACCTACATTGGGCTATTTGGATCCCTAGGGTTCCAAGGGACCTTAAACCCTAAACCGCATACACTCTGAAAAAAAAATCGCCTCTTAGGTGACCGTGGTTTTCGCAACTCCCAGGGAGCAGCGGAAGGGCGGTGGCAAGGGCAAAGGCATGAAAGGCATGGATGGCATCTAGGTCACTTTAGGGTTTTGGGCTTTTAGGGTTTTTAGGGTTGTTAGGGTCTAGGGGTTTTAGGGTTTCTAGGGTTTGAAAGGAGTGAGCGGCATTCGAATCCCTGACGGTTGACCCTCCGCCAAGTATGCATGGGCTATATCAGTCGCTTTCCATAAGTTGGGGGGCCACAACATAGACCCCAATACGATAGTCCTTTTTACTACGTGGACACCCAAGATGGACCACTAAGTTTTGGGTTTTGGAAACCCCCATAATTATGATTTTCCATGCTAGTTTTGGGGAGAGTGGCCCACTCTAGCAGTTTTGGGCTCTGGCCGATCCGTTGCATGACACCGCCCAAATTATGTGAATATGTTTGTCTCCAGTGAACAATGGGCTGAAAGTGATGACCACCAAGGGGTGTGGAGATTATGACGAGGCAATCGGGTTTCTCAAAGTAGGGGGGCCCAATATAGATCCCGCAACACTATAATCCTTATGACAGGGACCCGCAAAAAAGTATATACCCATAATTTTGGGACATCCCCCCATATGGGGTCGCAGATTCTATCTAATGGTCCGTGTGATTTTGCATGTGACTCTCCACTATCCTGGCGCAAACGATGCGAAAGCCGCGGATCATACGCCCTTTGACATCCCAACATGACCTAGGAACTCCAGTACATTTCCTGCAACCGTCTCCCTGGTACTCAGGAGAATGGGGGTGTAGCTTCTAGGCAGTGGGATATATATATGTATATATGTACATCTGTATTTAGTCATATAAAATGTATACATACCTGGTAGCACTAATATGGGGATCCAATCCATTTTTGCCATTCTGTACGAAGCACCAAGTAGTCGCACTGAGGCTTCTATAGGTTGATTTAAAGTTTGTTGTTTCTGCGGTCCAGTGGGTAACCTCTTAACCTTTTGCTTAATACTAGGTTGAATACAAGCCACACGACTACCCTTGAGAAACCCTAAACCCTAATTTAGTGTTTAGGGTTTAGAAACCCTAAACCCTAATTTAGTGTTTAGGGTTTAGGATTTAAGGTACTGGAAAGCCAAGACCAAGGCATGTGGAACATGATGTCAATGATGATGGGTGGCTGGGGCGGTGGCGGCGGCTGGGGCGGCGGCGGCGGCTGGGGAGGTGGTTGGGGCAAAGGTGGCGGCTGGGGCAAAGGTGGTGGCAACTGGATCATTGTTGAATAACGCTTTTGTTTTCATAGGCCCCCTTAAGGCCTTAAGGTCCTAAACCCTGTATGATGGTCATTTCTAGAGGTTGCCGTCCCACACGGTGCATCTTAGGGTTTGGGGCTCAGGGACTAGGACCCTTCTTACCAAGGACCTGCAATGAAGAAATTGAGATGTTAGATTCACACTTTCCTGGCCATTCCTCCCCATGAACCGAAACATAAGAAACCCCAAACTACGGTGAAGTATTCTCACCTTAGCGTTGAGACTATTCTTAGCTAGTTTGTTGTCATTTTCCTACCCTTGTACAGCGTGCTATCATTGAGTCGGTTGGAAAAATCGGCAAAGCCCTACGCCCAGCTGCAATCTTGGGGCTCAGGGTTTGGGGCCTGGGAGTTACAAGGTAACTTGCTTAGGGTTCAAGGCTTAAACTTAGCGAACTGGCCCGGCGCGTTTCAGCGTTGTCAACGCGCGTTTTAACAACACACGTTTCCCCAACATGCTCAAAACGTACGTTGTGAGTTCTCAAGAGGGCAGTACATAAAGCTTGGGCTTGCTGAGCTTTTGCTGCGTGGACGGATGGGTCAGCATGTGGGGGCCGTGCAAAAACCCCTTCCTCCACGTCTCCTCTTCGGCGGATTTTTTGAGAAATAAATCATGTTTAAACGCTGCGAAAACTGCGGCGTGCGGAAGGTCGCGGAAGGCCGAGCGGAAGGCCGAGCCAAGGGCTTATCTTGGCATAGTACTCAGCAAGATATCATGAGGCATCAAATCTCCAAAATGCATTGGAAGGTTCGCCAATTGTGAGGCCCCCAAAAGTGCTTACCTTTGTCCATTTAAACATCTGCTAAACATCCCAAAATGTGTTTAGAGGGCTGTGAAAAAAACACTTTGAAGGTTCCCCAACTCTCGGGCTCCAAGATCGCTACATTTGGCCATTTGAACACCCCCCAAATCCCCAAAATGCGTTTAGATGGCTTTCAAGACGCATTTTCCAAGTTCCCCAATTGTCAGGCTTCCAAAAGTTCCTAGATTTGCACATTTAAACATCTGCTAGACCCCCAGTACGCGTTTAGACGGCTGCGAAAAACGCACTTTGAAGGTTCCCCAACTCTCGAGGTTAACAGGTCGGTTTCAAGCCCCCGCCCCAAAATGCGTTTAGGAGGTTGTGAAAAACGCAATTTAAAGGCTGGCAGGTTTCAAGCCCCCAAACCCCCAAAATGCGTTTAGAGAGCTGTCAAAAACGCGTTTTGAAGATTTGCAAGTGTTGAGGCCCGAACACCCTGAAATGCACGTAGAGGGCTCCGAAAAGCACATTTTGAAGGTTTGCAGGCTTTGAGGCCCCGGACCCCGAAACTGCGTTTGGGGGGCTCCGCAAAACGCATACCCTTTAAAATGCGTTTAGAGGGCTCCGAAAAACGCATTTTGAAGGTTTGCAGGCTTTCAGGCCCCGAACCCCGAAAATGCGTTTTGGGGGCTGACAAAAAAAGAAAGCATTTTGAAGGCTTTCAATTTTTCAGGCCCCGACCCCCAAAATGCATTTTGAGCGCTTCCTTTGCAACAACTTTGGCGTGCGGAAGGCCGAGCGGAAGGGAATATTTTCAAAGGGAGCCACGACAGCTTAATTTTGCACAACCCCCATATGGCAAAAAAATGAGACGCTTTTGCTCCAAGCTTTGCTTGAGAACAACTTAGCCCTGTATACCCCCATAACTTTGCTGGGAAATGCGTTCTTGGAAGGAATAGTTCTTGGAAATACGTAGTGGAGGGCCCTGGAAACACAGATCCAACGTGCCACTCGTTCACTAGCATTTGTTGGGGTGGAACAGCATCTTCCTTTTGGTAAGAATAGTTATTTGTAGAAGCGCCAGTAAGAGCAGCAGGGCAGGCCCGATGCTGAAGGTTTTGGCCCTTGGGATACGCTGCTTGATACAAGGCGTTGCGAAACGTTTGACCAGGCCGGTGGTAGTTTCTTTGCGTTGGGCGTTGCCGGGGGTTATAAGCAATTGTAAACAATTCAATTCTAAAGGCGTTTCGGACAAAATCAGGGAGCACGTTGCCGAGTGGCGTTGGCAACGCCGCGTTGCGCGTTGGGCGGGGCAAGGTTGCTAAGGGCTTAAAGCCCTTCAAATGAGTAAAGCCCTTCAAATGAGGTTGTAGGAATTACATCGGGATATATACGGGTATGTGAGGTTTGGGGTTCAGGGCTCCCCGCATTCGGGCTCACTCTTGAAGAGGGTTTTCATGGTAGGGATTGTGATAGCTGGGGGTATACATTCAGGACTCCTCATATTCGGGAAACATCTCAGCAATTTCTGTGTCGAAGAAACCCAAACCCCAAATCTTAAACCCTAAGCCTTAAACCCACCCTAAACCCTAAACCCTAAAACAAGGTGGCGGCTACAACCCGGCCAAGCACAAGACCGTCATGTGCCACTTCTGGGGGCAGAAAGGAAGCTGCTCTCGAGGCGGGGGTTCTGACAGTATAGGGTTTAGGGTTTAGGGTTTAGGGTTTGGGGTTTCTGGGATTTGGCTTAGGGTTTAGGATCTCAGGGAGAATGGAAAAATGGAAACGGCTGTAGGCTTTAGAGGTTATGGAGGGATAAGGATATTCCCCTGCTAATAATGGAGAATCCAAATGGAAATTAACATGTAAAAACAAATGAAACCTCAGATTATACATTTCGAATTCAGCCTTGTAGGGCTCGTTTCAAGGGGTTATAAGTGGGGGATATGTTAGGTCAGGTGGACCCCCCACCGGTTAATAGTGGCTATAAAAGGGATAATAAGGTCTATACCAGGGTCCCTATTACATTCCTGCTATACCACTATTACAGGGTGGGGGGCCCTCCTAAGGTATATGTAGGGTTTGTACCATGGAAGTATGGAAGCTACTATGTTCAGTGGGGCCCATTTTCCTGCAGGCCCGAGTCACCTTCACCTTCGTAATAATAACCCACTAGACCCTCAACCCAAATCCCTACTGCCCACTGATTAGTAGGCATAGCCCATAAAACTGTAGGCAGTTGGGGTTACAGTTCGGCTTTTGGATTAGGGTTTAGGGGGCATTTAGGATTCAGAGTGTATGATTTTGGGTTCAGGAGGTAGTGTTAGGAGTAGATCATAATTACAGGTCTCTGATCGCCCTACCTAGAGGAAAATTAGGACACATATTTGTAATTGTTATTTAATTTTTTGGGGGGGGGATGCGGGGGGAGGTTGGGGTTACCAATATCTTCTTAGTAGCTAAACTGTGGTTCTTGCTAATCACGTCCCCAACAACAATAACCCTCCTCCACACGAATATTTGTATTAAAGATTTCCATGAATATCTAGTTCTGCTATACTGATATGTTTCCTGCCAAGGGGGGGGGGGGGTGCTACGCTTCAACTTCTGATTTGTTATTGGTAGTGTTGTTCTTAATACGTCTCGCTGAGGTAGTTAGCGTTTTGGTGTTACGGTTTAAGTTGTTTTAGGCTCAGGTTTCTGTGCTTGGGGTTTAGAGGGCTTAGGATTTAGGGTTTAGGATTTAGGGTTTGGGATTTAGGGTTTAGGATTTAGGGTTTAGGGTTGGGAGGTTTTGAGTTTAAGGTTCGAGGAATGGCGAGTAGTGTCACTGTAATTGTTACTCGCTGCTATGCTTAGCCGGTTGGCGAATACCAGGGTTGGCACTGGTATCAGGATTAGTGTATTCGTGTAGGATTAGGATGGTCATGGTGCTAGTGCTGGTATTGCAGTAGTTCTACGGTTGTGATTGCTACTTCTTCTTGTAATGACAGAGCAATTACGACAGCGAGTGCCTGCAGCTTCTAGGCGCGGGAAAAGCCCAGGTTCTATGGATGTGATAATTATTCTACAGTCTCTGAGAGCTAGAGAGCATCAGGGTTTGGTAATATGCCTGCAGAGATTTCTCCAAACCCTAAACCCTAAAAACAGTATTGCTTGGCTTTCTCCTGGTACTCAGCGAGGCTCAGCAAGGCTGAAAAAAAAAAGGACTATAGGTGAGGAGGACTCCCCCACCCTGTAATAGTGGTATAGTAGGAATGTAAGAGAACCCAGATATCAGCCTTAGTATCCCCTATAGCGCTATTATAGGGTGGGGGGTGCGCCAAGACATGCCAAAACTATGTGGAGTAGTTCAAGGGGTTGCGCGGGGAGTACAACGGGAGTGATTCCCCCTAGATTCCACTAAGGGCCGGGCAGTTTTGGGGTGCTTTAGAATACCAGGACCATGATGCTTTGCGGTTGGGCAGGGCCTTGAACCCAGAACCTTAAACCCTTAGCCCAAGCAGTCGGACTGAAGCCGAAACTCCAGTTTTAAACGCCGGCCTTGGATTCCCTCAGCTTGATATACCCTACTTAAACCTCAAAGCCTGACCCCTCACCTAAAGCCCAAACCCTAAGTCCTAAAGCCTAAACCTTAACAACCCCAAATCCTCAACCTTAAACCAAGAACCCGAAACCCTGAACCCGAGGTTCGGGGTTTAAGCTTCGAGCTTGGGACCTGAGGCGATGCCTGCACCTTCGCACACGGAGAACATGAACTCAAGGGAGGTGGGAGTTCCAGTTTCGCATTCAGCATTTAGGGTTTAAGATTCAGGGTTTAAGGTTTAGGGTTTAGGCATTTAGGGTTCAGGGTTTGGGGATTTAGGGTTTGGGATTTAGGGTTCAGGTTTCGGATGTAGGGTTTGGGGCTTAGGAATTCCTGTTTCATGGTTAAGGTTTTAGGGTTTGAGGCTGAGGTGGGAAAGGGCTATCCGCAAAATACAGTGTTGTATAAAGTAGTCGGCAAAAGGGGACCCCTGATTTTGGGAAGTATGTGCTGAAACTGCAGACTGGTTGAAATCTTGCAGTCAGTCAGTCCTAAAGGAGGCTACTGTTTTGGCATATGTACTATAGACAACTCTTTCAACAGGCTTATATACGGATTCCATTGAGACTAGTCTAGGGGTTCTTAAGGGGGATACTTGGAGTTTGGACTATGGCTCATATGAAGACGCTTGAAATGACCAAGACT